TAAGCGTTCCCTGTTCCCCGTTTTAGTGACATCCTTTGCAGTATATGCGTATAGCCGACGCATTCACCCGTTAGGAATTTTATTGTTTTCGAGCCATAAATACAGTAAAATAAAAAGCTATAAAACAACGGGTAAATGCGACGGCCATACAAGATATTACTATTAAGGGGAACAGTCAACAGGATATGCAAAAATGAATGGGCAATGAAGTTACTGGATAGGGTTAGAGTTCAAGTTAGGTCTGCTCCCATTTTTCATTTTCACCTGGCTTCCCCGCGCTTGAATGTTCCTCGTTCCCTGTTGCCCGGCTAGTAACATCCCGAAGCGAGAAACGTCCAACAAGGTATTGTTTACACAGCTGTTTACATATCAATTGAAGCATGTCAGTTAATTCTGATAAAGAAACGTCCGATGCGGAGGTTTAAGCTAAACCAGACTGACAAATGGCCAAAATTTTAACTGGCAAATGACATTGTACTCCCCCATTTAGACCCTCCTCCAACGCTCAGGCTAGACCGCTTGAAAGGTCTGGCCCGATTGCACAGGGAAACCAATTTGGAAACACGCGATTACAGTGAAAGTGAGACTCGGGAGAGAAGACTGGTGCGCAACAAGAGAAAAGCGTTTCTTGAAGAGAACCGAAATAGAATAAAAGCTGTCACGAATTACTTACAATTAAAGCTACTCGCAGCAGCTGCATGAACTATTGGCGCTTGAAAATGAAGTTTATTCGAATATTTCAAGATAGCTGATGCTGAGTTAAAAAGCAATAAGTACAGTTTAGCTAATGCTATTCATACTCAAAATGTACTGAACTCATTTATATCGCTGCTCGTAACTATATACATGTATTGTCTTTGCGTCTTTTAAACCTAAGTTAAACATATATTTTTAAAATCAACTTTTTAGTTTAACAAAAATTAAAGTATACATTATAACGAAATAAGTAAAGAAGTACAAAAAGTTGAAGCTTTTCAGAGTCAGCCCTATGCAAAATCAGTCTTGATCTCTTGCCATTTCGCTATTGATTTTCGTATTATTAAACCTATTATGAAGGAATAAGTCATCAGTCCATGTGTGAAAAAACATACGTAATTGATCTCAAAACATTAACAATAAGTCGATCATGATAACAACAACAAGTTTTTCTGTGTTGTACCAATGTGCTTATGCTGTGCCATGGCACTTCAGTTTCCCCAGCGTGTGGTAGCTCTTTTCCAGAAAAAGACCAGTATCTCCAAACCTGAGCTGTTTTACTGGAAGCTTTGCCTTGTCAGTCAAGAGTCAGCTATCTTCACGCCATGCATAGTCATTCTTATCACAGTTACAGCCATAACTGGGGTTTGCACATGAGTTGGTCATCCCGCATGGGCAATTACCATTGACAGATGATCCACCCCAGTACGTCATGTTAGTAGAATTACATGACACCCACCAAGGAAATCCGTTGTTTCTGAATATCTTCGAGTGATAACACTCCTACTATTTAAACTGTTCACAGTGCGAAGAGACGCTGGTGAGATTGGTCAACTGAGAGAAACTCGCTCCTCTGTAGAGAATGGCCCGTGAGTAGCTCCCTGGGCGTTCATATCCTGTCACATGTTTTCTACTCTCACGATGGTGACTGATGACTGTCACGTCAACTCCATTTTTGTCTGTTATATCACAGTACACTGAGAATCCTTCTTGACATCCCTCGCCATCTGGATCAATGATGTAATTTCCACTTTTTGCTGTAGGGTCACTCTTCTTTAAATAGGGAGCTTTAGCATCGACGACGGCAACGGCAGCGAAAACGTCAGTTTTAAAATGAATTCCCGTTTATTCAATCTTTGTCGCGTTTATTCCAATTTGCTGAAAATGGCAAATGTAGGCGAATTTCCCTGGAGTTGATTTCTTGAGGACCGCACTCAAATTTAAAGAGAGAAAAAGAGATTCGTCGTCGCTTGTTTACGTCCTCCATAAAACTTGCAATTAGGCATTTTCACGTGGTATTCGTGTAAGGACGGTAACGGAAATCTACAAAAAAGCGTGATGCACGTGCAAAGTTGTTGTTTCGCGTAAAAAACCTATTGCTTTTTTTTCGACGTTCTGGTTGCCGTCGCCGTCGTCGTTGCTAAAGCTCCCTAATAGCTGCATGACAACGGAACTGCCGAGAGAAGGTTCAAAATAAATGCTTTTATTCGTTATTCCGGTCATCAATGACCTTTTTTCGCAGACTTTTTGCTATTTTTACAAGGGGCGAGTGTTTTTAAGATGTCAAATGTCATGTTTTATTTTTTAAGTTAGCCTAAACAGGTTCTTAGTACATCAACTTTAATTTATTTTACAAATGTAAGCTTTTTAGGTTCTTAAAAAGGTTCTTATTTTCTGAACAAACCATTTCATTGTAGCTAAGAGTATTTAATGGTATTCAGCTCATTCCTAAGGGAAAACCTGTATACCATTACAATTGCAGTTGGAGTGATAAGCCACCTATGTCTCTAAAGAGGATCCTAAAAGTCAACTAATCTTATATGCCAAAGGGCACATAATTTTTTCAAACGTCTTAGCAAATAAGATCCTGTTTCAAATTTTATAGAGGGGACCTAACTGGCAAATTCTAGCCTAATAGGATCTTAAAAAAGAAACGCTAAAACAACAACAGCAACAACAACAACAACAAAACAAGTTCTTAGTCGAGGTATTTACTGTTCTCCGCGTAAGAGTTGCAAACAGACGTAATGTTGATTTATAAGCCAAAAGGGTAGACGTATGCTACCTTTATTACAATATAAAATGAGTGATATACGCGATCGATCGATCGATACCTGTTATAGAAATAAAAACTGAAAGGAGCATAGAATGTTCGAATAAGATGAAATACTAATTTGTAGTCTCTTCCTTCCAGCATAACGATGTTTGAAAGAAAAGGGATAAAGATTCAGTTCCTAAGTTTGATGATAATCTTTTAATCATGTCGGAAAATTTCTTTTATTTGAATCTGATTATCGTAATCGCAATTTCCTTTTCAGCGAGAAAAAAGAACGGAAGTGAAAGATATATACTAGACTGATCTGTTGTCTCATTTAAAATTATTATAAAGACAAGTGCTCTTTTTTTTTTTTTGGTCACAAAAGTCATCGTCATCATTTGTTTTGCCTCCTAAAACACGTCATAGACGCAACAAGAATAACCAAACGTTTTATCCAGTATTATAGAGTGTCGCGATGTTATCAACTTTGTACGGCCCAAATTGTCAATGCACATTACTTGTCGTCAAAAAACACTTAACCTCTCTGGCATTTTTCTCCGCTGTAGCCTGGTGAGCAAAAACAAACGAATTTTTTCTCAGTGTATCCCGTGTAGCAGGTCCTATTGTTTAGGCAGGGCTTAGCGGCGCAAAGATTCTGAGAAGAACAGACGTATTTTTCATTTGAAAACTCAAATGTATAATGTTGTCAGAATTATTCTAAGATAAAAATAAGTGAAGGTTGCTCTAGGTTAAATGGGTCAGTTTCAGCCACCGTGTATCGGTGATAGAGAGTCGACAGAGATTATCTCATCATCATATTACTTTTTTTCGTCGTCATGATTCACATTATACGTTTATTTGATGAATATCGCGTTTATCTTTACCATTTTACTGAAATGTCAAAATCATTATCAAGAGACCTGTCAAGAAACATAACAGCATCATGCATTATCTTTCTTATAATCATCAACAACGGCATCATTTTCATCACAATCTGCATATTTTGCTCCATCGTCGTCGTCGTCAACATCTTCTTCTTCGTCGCTATTATCATCATCGTCATTACTACCATCCATCAGCATCATCATCATCATTATTATTATCATCACCACCATCATCACGGCATCATCACCATCATCATTGTTGTCATCCTCATCATCATCATCGTCATTATTATCATCATCATCATGATCTTCGTCGTCGTCGTTACTATCATCGTTTTTTGAAATAAATAATGTTAGCAAATGATGGCAACGACAACAAATCTTTGGAAATGAAGCCTACCTTTAACTAAAAGTAGCCATCATCGTCGTCGTTATTGCTATATTACAGCAATCATAATGTCATAATTGTAACCGTCTTTGGCCACTTGAGACATGACTACCTAATTAAATATGCATACTTTAGTAAATGCTACTTAGAACGGTTTGCTTCCAACATTACTTCTGAAAAGTAAACTACGAATGTGGCTCACCGAAAAAAACACGTGAAACGTGATTTCAAAGAACACTTGACATCGTTTCGTCAATGACGTTACAAAACACGTTTTCCTAAACGGGAAGGGTCGCAAACTTTAATGTTAGGAATTTTCACTACCAAAATGCTACATAAACATCGGAAATCGTAAATTCGCCTTGTGTGATTGGAAATGTTATTTATCCTATTAGCTATTTAACTAATTAATAAGTCAAGTGACCCTTTTCCCTTTATTTACCGATTGCTATATAACGTAAACACACACACAAGGCGAATGTATAAGAACCTTTACCTAAAAGAACTTGTTGCTCTCTCATTATCCTTTCCCTATTTTAGAGTTAATATTCTGGCCGTTAATTCTCAATTATCAGTCACGTGATGAAAATTCGAGCTTTTAAAACGCACTCATATTGCTAAGGCCATCAAGCTACATTTGCAGTTCAATTTTTAGGATCATCGATAGAAGCAAATCGTTCTAAATAGCATTTTATCAAAATATGCATATTTAATTAGATAGTCATGCCTTAAGTGGCCTGAGGTTATTATATGCTTATTATATAACACCAATAATGCTATAATATAATCGTCCTAGTTATCAATTATCACCATTTTAGGGCATTTTATAAGACATGACCACTTAACGATGCATGGTGATGTTACCTCTGTGCCTCTATAGAACCAGCGTTTTCTTGGATTCAGATCTTCTGGATGTTGTAAGTGATCTGAAGTACTCAGTTCACAGGCCATCTTGTTGTTGATCATTGGCCCAGTATTATATGAAACACATTCCCTCGCAAGGGCGCATTGGTCTTGGCAGTCTAGCTTTAGTTCCACGGAATGGTTTGAAAACACGTGTCCTTGAAGCCTAAAACCTCTGACTGGTGTCAGAAGTGTGATGTATCGGTTGTTTTGAGCGAAATCACCTAAAACAAATTTTCAAAACAGTACACAGTTATAAAGAAAAAAGAGTTTGACCGAATGTATTGTTGTAACGCTGTTCATCAGTTTGATGTTCTGCAGAACACTACGGTTGTATTAACGAATTAGTCATCTTAATTTTGATATCAAGGTACTGGCAAATAATGTTGTTCAACTGAAAAAAGTCGTCTTTCATTCCTAGATTAAGATAGACAACATAACTTTTGGTTATCAACAAATTGTTAACATTCCAACCTTCTATCCACCAATTCCTTGGTGGAATTGGATTGACTTTAAATTTAGAAAGAAGACAGTTTAGTGAGAAAGCAAGACAAAATTCCATGCAGTGATCTTTCATTTCTCCACTATCAATATTCTCCACTACCTTCTCTCCTTTCCTACACTATCCGTGTTTAGGCAGCGTGAATAACCTCCTCCAATTGGTAGTGGTTTCGCACAAAGGTTCCACCACCCAGAAAACACAAAAAAAGTTATGGGCAAAATTCATGTGTCAGGGAAGCGCTTAAATCTAGGGGTAAGGGGACCAGGAGAGAAGCCCTCCTGAGGGGAGACAAGATCGATTGGTACTGAGGGTAGCCACCCAGGAAAGGAGTCCTGATCAGTCTCCGGGGGTGAGCCCCATATCCCCCAGTCACTAGGAACTAAGGGGAACCAGGAAGGGTGGCCATCGGCTGGGTGAAGTACAGATCAGGTGGGATCGGGGCTCCACACCCTGGAGCGGATTTTTTACAGACCTGTCTCCAAGGGCTTACTGTGGGGTAAAGTGCAGCCAGGGGTTGCACTTCCCTGCCACGGATTGTGGAGCATGTGGAGACAGGAGGCACAATCGCCCAACAGTACAAGGTGAATAAAGTCAGGCTCTTGTAAGCAAAGGGAGCCGTGCCTTCTGCTCCTATGAGACTTCGCAAATGTTTCAACGAAAGTTAAAGAAGACACAAGCTGTCTTAATGTTAGTTATTGACTAGTATTAGCTAAGAGTCTAGGTAGTTCTAAAATGGTACATTTAGGTGTCCTTATATAGCGTTCATAACATTCTGAGCTCCATTGGCCTACAACTTTAATAACCCAGGGTGGAAGGCCAGCTTTGGCTGCTGTCTTTAGTGGCGGCTCCAATACGGAAACTGTGGGAGTAGAAATTTTTAGCAGGGAGACCACAGTTTTGAAGAATTGTCCTAAGCTCTCTTGTGAGATTGTTCTGTGTAAGCCATTGTCTGGGTTGGACGAAGGCGAACAGAGGGTGGCTTGATGGTGACTGGGCTTGAAGGAGATAGTCTTTCATTGCCATCATCGAACAGATAGGTGGCGAGGACTTTGCTCTGGTGATTGTTTGGTCCTGTCTGAAGGCGACAGTTTTGGATTGCTTGATGCGCACTTGCATGTGGCTGGGTGAGTGGGAGTTGGGTACCAGTCACTGGGTACCAGTCATGTCATTGGAACTGAGGTGAACAGAGGGGTCGAATGGGCGATTGCAAGTGAATTCGCTGGAGAAAAGGGAGGTTGAAGGCCGCTTAAAGTATGACATGATCTAGAAAATGTTGCCACATATTAATGTCCTTACGGAAACCTGCATTAAGGCGAATGTGCTAATGAGGGAACTTGATACCCTTTGTAAGATGGATGGTGCGTTGCAAGAAGGAGAGGCCAGAGGCAATAACAAATTGAAGGGTGCCAAGCAAAGACTGGAGCTCCTATAAGGTAGCAGATTTCCTGTTAGTCCACAGGCCAAGGGCTCCCTGAATGCGGGTGAGTTTATCTACTGGGAGACGGGCTTCCGCTTTATTGGAATCTAGTAGAGGATACCCATAAATTCAAGGCAGGTACATGCAGGGAAGGTTTTCCCAGGAGCTATGGGGATATTTAGATTTGTCAAAAGGTGTAAAATTTGGCATAGAGAAATCATCTAGTATATGAATAACCTTGGAAATATTAAGTTTATTTCGAACGATCCATACAAGAGCAGAAGAGAATTCATCAAAAAGAAAGGGGACAGACCTGAGACCGAATGGGAGGACCATATTAAAGAAATAGAGCCTCTCCCATTGCATACCCAGGAGTTCCCAATCCTTTTTTTTTGGCTGCAAAGTCTGCGAAATATTTATTACAGTTCTATGCCAAAAATGCAGTTCGACGGTTTAGCTGCTTTGACACCTGCTATTTACAAATCAGAGGTACAATTAGTGCCCCCCCCCCCCAAGCATTTAAAACGTTTCCCGAGAAAATTCACCTGATACAAGAGAGTTACGTTTGTCACAACAGACACAACAAAAAAACAATATACTCACGACGTTTTACGCCAAGAATCTTTTAATAATTCAGTTTTGGGTCTGGGCCTTAAAACTTCATGTTCCGGTTTAGTAAAATAACCAAATTATGTGGACAAAAGCTAAGAAAATCCGCGATCGAAAAATCCCTGAAAGACGCAATTCTATTCGAGTTAACGGGAATCCAATGTTATTCGGATTTCAGTTTTGTGTTGATCAATCGGAAAAGTTACTTCTAGAACATTGCGCCAATTTTTTGAGACGCTGTGGCCCTGCGCACGTTGTTATGGTGACCACCTATTTGTAAAAAAATAGTCTAACGCCAAATTCACTTTTACAGTTCCTCTAAACGCGTACATAGAAATTGGTTTTCTGCACGATTGCTGTGCAATAAATTACCGGGAGTACAGGTGTACATAATTTTTGGATGAAGCCTTCGAAATGAAGAAAGTTGAAGGACGCCATTTTGCCCTATTTTTTACCTGTTGAGGGTAATTTAGCTGCTGTTAGGCCAGCTTTATTCACGCTATTGCGTGATAATCACCGTCGATCATTACAGTATTTCAGGTTATGTTAGTATAGGTAATAGCACGATTTGTAGTGATAATTGGCATAAATACCATGCACGAGGGTGATATTTCAAAATTGTTATACGTACTCACGAGCCATTAGGCGAGTGAAATTTGAGACAATTTTGAAATATGACGAGTGGTATTTACGCCAAATATCACGTACAAATCATGCTATTAATTGTTTATACTACGACCCGCAAAAGTTTTGTAATTTTCAAATGTAGCTATTTCAAATTAAGCTGAAATGCCACTGCTCTAACCAATCAAGTTGCAGAGATTTCTCATGTAGCAGTATAAAAGGTAAAATAAGATAAACGAAAATTAAGTGTACCCTGCTAGCAGAATCGCTTCGATCTTTCCTAGATGAGTCGTGAAAGAGGAAAGCGACTTTCCCGAATTATCTAGGAAAGATCGAAGCGACTCTGCTAGCAGCGTAAATTTAGCGAAGACTGCATTCAATAGTCGATTAACCTTGATTTATTAATTGGGTTAGAAGACTGAATAATTTTCCTCGAGGTTTGGTTTTTAAGAACCAGTATCCAGAGAAAAATATAATAAAATTGAAATTTCAGATAACAAAGAGACAAACTTTCTAATAAGTTGCCTACTGCGCACGCGCATAAACTTTATTATTTAGCAACGCCCCCTCCCCTTTTTTAAATCTAAAAGTTAGATAAGACACAGGCCAAACATCGAACTTGGGTCGACCTAAATTACGTTAAGATTGTCCGTTGTTCAGACGTCGAACTAAGGACGCGCATACCAAAAAAGCAAACTTTCAATTTTCAAGCCTCTAACGACAGGAGCAACCTAGACAATGACATTAATAACTTACAGCAAATCATTGTCTTTTTTTTAGGCGAAGCTAAAAACTTTGTAAATTAGCCTAGTTCGATTCTTAAACAATTTTGAAATTGGTTTTATATGCAAATATCAATTTTAATATCTTTTCTTAGTTTTTAATTTGTTTAGGTAGGTGATTAGTAGCATTTACTTATTTGAGCTCGTGATAATGTGAAACGTGACCTTGGAATTTGTTTGAACAACAGGTTTTCCCTCTTTTCTTTCTCGTCGCTGTGTTTGGACATGAACTGAACTTCCACTGAGCAAATCATATTTTTGCCGCACTGAGTCTTACATTATTGAAGGTGATTCATTTCCTCGTAGTTGTTATTTCCTGTGGTTATGCTGCTGTCGGTGTTTCTGGTAGTCAGAAAAAATGAGTAATGGATCGTGTTTTCAGCTTTTCATTGGTCCTTTTGACATAACCGCCGTCAGTCAATATTAATTTTGTGGGCGTAGGCGTGGGCGGAAGAGCCACAACAATGGACTTGTTACGAGGCGCCTTATTTTTTCTCCTCCCCTCTTCTCGCGTTTCGCGCTCGTCTCTCGCTTCGCGCAAAATTCCACATTCCCCGATCGCTTGGTTCATAAAGCGCCTGTTATGCAGACTAAATGAATGATATACGAGGCACTGGACAAATATATAACAATATTTTTTTGCGATAACCGAGTTCAATAACTGTTTTATTATTCCATCACCGAGTTTGTTTCTTAATTATTTGCAAGGCGATCTGCCATTTTCACTCAAGAGCGCTCGCAAGAAAGATAAAAGTGTTGTTTCATTTACGCATGAGGAAAAATCAGAAAACTATTTGCAGCCGAACACTGCTGAACGGCATTGTGAATGAGCAGACCATTATTTGTAGGCAGTCATTAGCAGGTCAGGTGGTGGGCTTTCAACAATGAAAGGAAGAAAATTTGCATCTTTGCAGTCTCTACTGAGTTATTCCAAAATTATTTATTATCGCAAATTCGAAAATTTTGCATTCATTATCATTTCCTTGGTGTTTTTCGATCAATTTATGAAAATAGCATCACAGCCAGTTAAGACTCTGGAGTTATGACTGGTAATGACTGGTAAGCACCGAGAGAGTAGAAACGGACCTGAATAAAAGCTGGCAAATCAATTAACAATAAAGAAAAAAAAAGCAAGTAAATGTTTACTGATTAAAAATGAAGTTTACTCGAATAAACCAAGATTTTGAAATTGATTCTCAGTTAAAAGCAATGATATTATTACATAGCTGCTGCTACTACTACTACTACTACTACTACTACTACTACTACTACTACTACTACTACTACTTTTACTACTGCTGCTGCTGCTACTACTACTACTACTACTGCTGTATTCGTTCTCGAAATGTAACTCATTTATATCGATAATAAAACTTAATTAAAGCGTAAAACTCGTTTGTGTCCTTAATGCCACATTTAGAAATTAAAGTAAAAGACGTTTTTAAAGTTATGTTCTTCATCAATACGCTACTAACTACAAATTTAGCCCAAAATGAAAAAGTTTCTTCTTTTGTTACTGAATTTTCGTGATGTTAAATAAAACTATATTTTAATGAAACATTGTTTGGCTGATTTTATAAATTAGGCTTCAGTGTTAATGTATCGCTTTAAAAGCAGATTTTTACAGAAAAAAGTCTGTAATATTTAGCAATTGATCAATGAATTCGGCTTTCGTAGGATATGTAGAATTAAGCAGATCAAGGAGGGTGTTAGGAATAGGACTGGTATGTACTCAGAAATTTTCCTTTCATGAATTTTACAACTTTTTGCTTTTTAGTTTTTTAATTTCTATTTTTTTGGAAGACATTTTTTTACTCACGACATTTACCTACTCCTACACCCACGACCCACACCCACGACCCACGACATTTAGCTACACTCAGTATTATCTAGTTAATAGGAGGTTAATGATCCCATACAAAACGAAAACTTAAATTTTCCTTGACAAAGAAACATTTTGTCCTATATTCTCTGCAATGCTTATTGTTCCTCTTCCTCTTCTTCTTCATCATCATCTTCTTCTTCTTTTCCTGATATATACCGAGAAGAAGAAAACTAGAGCTATACCGAAAACTGCCGCCTTAAAAACTAAAATATGTAGTTAATCATTTCGGTAGAAATGCCTGAGGGGGTTATAATCGGGTGCATTTTTTTTGTTTACAGTAAGATGGGTCTACAACTGGGGAGGGGAGGGGGCAACTTATAACTTAGGGAACTTTTAAGCGGCAGTTTACGGTATACGATAAGGCAAGTTTGCCAAAATAACCCTATACAGCCATCATAGCATTCTGTTTGATTGTTCCTGCCCTGCCTAGCAGGCGGTTTAAATGGTGGGGGAGAGGCGGGGGAGGGGAACAGAGGGGAGCCTGGGGAGCGGTTACGTCGCCACGAAAATGGGGCAAGCATGCGTTTTCGCGGCTTCCGCCACTCATTTACGCGCTCGCCAAACAAAGCTAGCAGCTACGCAGACTACTATAGTTGCTCAATAGAGCAAAGAAGTTATGACGTAACAAAAGGTTGAGAAATTATGGGATTGGCTAGAATAATAAAAAGAAGGAGACAAAAGATGAAAATGCATGCTTGCCAAAAAAATCATGTTAGTGCAAATTGGTGGTAGATATTGCCCTTATTACGCTCTGGTTACTTCATAAAAATGATTCTAAAATTTGTTCCAAATCGTTTTTAGAAGAATTTTGGTATGGACTTGTCAGTGCCAACGTTACACATACCTCAGCAGTAATTTGCTCTAACACAAACATGATGTTTTTCATCTTGTTCTGTCTGAAAATATCATAGGTGACGAATTACTTCTTAAAAGGATTTGGACAAAACTGCGTGAAATCAACTCCCTAATTTCACTCGTCATGCACCATTTAGTGATTACACATACTTATTCCAACAAATCCAATAATCTCACAGCTGGGATGATTTTTGTGACGTAAAACTTTCTTTCTCTATTCCAGCCACATCCATTTAATTTAACTGAAATACAATACTCTGTGAAAGGTTTGAACCCCATCCTCGGAGACACAAGGGCAGATAGTGGGGACGAGGGAAAGTCTAAACGGGCGGAAAAATATATATGGAACGAAGAAAAATAAAGAACGGCGAGAAGAGCCCCAGGGGACAATGTCTTACCAGACCAGCTCCAAACGGTCGCCGCCGGTCTGGCTTCTGATTGGTGCCAGAAAAACATAAAAGATGAAGTCAAAGTTGTTACGTATTTGTCTTCGCCTTTGCGAAGGTCAAAGGAGTAAACAAAGAGGTTATATATTTGGCGGCATCTTTGATGCGCGTCAAAGGTGAAGTCAAAGCCAATACCATATTTGGCGTATTCTTTGAAGGGCCTCAATGTGCAGTAAATCCAGTTTTTCGTGCCGTGCGCGATGGTTTGAGTCAGAAAGGAACTATTTTTGTTCGAAATTACATCCCTAACAGTGCCTCCCAAGTGAAAAACCAACAACCTCCTGGGGAATGATTGTCATGCGCACAAGGTAGGCCGGTCTTGGTCAGAGAACGACGACTTCGAACGAAACTTCGCACTACCCTTTGCCAAGGTTCCCAATGGACTCTGTCCCAGGTCTGACTGCCATAAGAGATGGTAAGAGCCGAAATTACTGTTCTTAATAAGCCCAGTCCCCCGGTTTGGTGACTATGCTACGCACGATTTTCCCATATTTCATTAGCTTGGCAGCTTTGCTCAGAGATTTCTAAACATAAACGGTTACAAAAGTATATGAAACGCAGGCAGCCACTGATTTATGTTACTTAATTTCTTAGGCGTGCGAAGTGACTCTAAAGCTAGCGTAGCAGGCGCCGATGAGTTTTGAGAAGGTTTGAGCGATATAGCTTATTTGTCAAAGTTAGGTCTAGGGGACAACAATGCTCCAAAATCCACATATTCGTGTCCCCATATTTTCTCTTTTAGCTTATCTTAATGTTTTAACATAAAAGAGTTAAATCAATAGCTAAGCCAGCGAAGGACAGTTCTCGCTGGGATTGGCCAGGGTCTTTTTAAAATTGCAATAGCTTGCGTGCCGTGAACTAAGCGTGGGTGGTTACCTGATCCTTCCACGGACGCTGAGAGAACCGTGGGAGATGTTACAACCGTTGTTGGAGCTGGCGCGTTAGTAGTCGGAGTAGGCGGTGGAAGAACATTTATGGATCTGGCAGTCTTTATCGCTCCGGTCTGTGCAGAAGATAGCGAGGCAGTGAACAAATCAGGATCGATGGTCATTGCCGAGGTGGCTAGCGCTGCTGTTGTTGAACTTAACGATCCCACGACAACTGGAGTGGCAGATGAAGATGCCGGTGTAGATAACCCACTTGATGGCCCGGTCCCAGTGTTGACAGCCGAAAAACCGGAAACGTCTAAAATGTATTTTCAAAAGGGATATACAAAGATATACAAAATTAAGTTAACCAAAGAGGACCACTAAAATATTTTGGACTTACATCTTTCCTTAGACATCGTTTACATAAACCTTTCCAAAAGATCCGCCCGTAATAGCCCGCATGAAGATTTCAGTTTCGTCAAGAGAGGATAAAGCTCAGCGAAATTGAACGAGTCCCCCATAAAGGTCCTATACCCATCGCAATCCCTCTAAAGATATTTTTAGATCTTCTCTGGGGTCTGTTGTTCCCAAGAGAGTTGAATGAGGTGGGCGAAGTCCCACGCAATGCTTTATGTCGTTCGCGAAATTAAAAAGTTAAGTTGGCGGAAGACGTAGGTTAGGTTAAGAAAACTGCAGCCATAGGAAAACGAGTCGCATGTATACTTTTTGTGGATGAATGCGACTTCAAGAACATGGCAGGAAATCATCACCACCTTTACGGACCAATTTTAGATACACCTAATTGCAATAACGTTGTCTTAGAAAAATGACAAAAGGAAAAAGCCAAATAGAATATATGAAACAGGCTAATTAAGTCACATTCTCATGGTGGATTCATTTGCAGCGGTTGCACTTCCCCGCTGGAACTTTCAGTTTTATTGTCTTTCAGCTTTAAAACAGTAGCAATTTTGAATTCCAACAGACAAATACTACGTTCCTGTGCGGACACTGACAATGAACTCATTAGGTTTATCACCCTAATTAATTCCTATTTGCCTTTTTCCTTTCTTTCAGTTTTCTTTGACAACGTTTTTGCAATTGGGTGTATATGCACTTTTGAGAAACCAAAGAAACTAAAATCTTAACGAAAAGGATATTTATCTACAGGAAAAAGCTTAAGACTTCGGAAAAGAAAAAAAAAAAAAATATGCTTAACAACTGCATCTGAATCAAATTAATCCTGTGTAAACCACACCGGAAACCACAAAACAATTACTTAAATGCCCCATGACATCCCAATGTCAATGTATGACTCCACGGAGACTCATGGCCAAATTAAGATTGGGTCAATAAAAAATTAAAATACTTCATGCACCGCATAACCTAATTGCTAGAAAGGAAAAAAAGGAAACCGTTGTTGTTTTGAAGCATTCTCTGAGGCTATCGCGCTTCACACTCACGAGCTTATGAATCGTGTTTAGCCTGTCAACTCAAACTTAATTTCCTTTGTGAATTTTCTGACGTTTTCTTTTTTTGTTTCTCGACGCCAATGCCGATTGGTACATGCTCAATGATAATAAAAAAAAAACTCTCAAAAACGATTCCTATTTCGCATCAAGAGATGATACGCCTTCTTTATCCTCTCTTCTTTCGCTTTCATCGCAGCTCCTGCACTCCCAACATGCTTTCGCACTTCCACCCCTCCACGAAACTTCCACGCAACGTGCTAGGATATATTATCCGCGGGAAAACCGATACGTTCCAAAAATAACTTTAGAGCAGGCTCCTGCGAAGAGGGATTATGATGGGCAGCGGGCCTTATGGGGGATTAATTCTCTGAGCTTTATCCTCCCTTGGTTTCGTACACCCGCGAAGCCATGTGATATCCTCTATACTATTTTACCTGGAGCCTGCTCGCAGTTTTCTCCTGTGAAGCCTAAGGTGCAAACACAGAGGTATTTCTTGCTCGTATATCCTGTGAAGCACGTCCCCTTGTTAAGACAAGGATAACTGGCGCAAAGGTTCTAGTGGAGAATACATATTCTTAAAATCACGATAAAAATTATTTCCCATGCTGAGACGGCATATTAGATAGAAAAGGTATTATTTAGATCTCTCGAACCCCGCAACAATTTCAACAAAATTCAAGTTTTGTCCTGTGAGATTGGGACATTTTGAATGTTTCTGGAATTGTCGATTTATGGGAATGAACACATATATTTTCATATCATAATTGCTATCAGTATCAGTATTATCATCATCATCATCCATTCTCCTATACTAGTAGATATCGTGATCATTATCATCATCATCAGCAGGAACTCGTCATAAGGATCATCACCCGCCTACTTCAAAAGCTTTAGTTTCTTAATCGAAAATTAGGGAAACATGCATTCGGCTGTCGATGGTTTATCCAGGTCTGTTTTAAACCTATTTGTCATTGGTACCTCTGTGATGCCTCTATAACTCCAGCCCTGTCTTGGTTTGAGATGTTGTGGGTGCTGTATGTGATCTGAATCACTAAGTTCACACACAACTTTGTCGTTCAAAGGCGGACCAATGTTTATTGACACGCATCTACTTTCCATAACACATCTCTGATGACAATGTGTGTATATTCCAATAGTAAGATTTAAAAACACGTGATTTGCCAAATAATGGCCATCGTCCATTGGAAGGAACTTGAGGCGACGACAACCATCTGCAAAGAAATAGGAAGCAAATGGCCTTATCTTGTTAGAATGTAATAAGTAATAGACTCTTACAGAAAACTTCGAGATAGCTGATACCATCTCGGTATGAGCAGAATGGCACTATAGGATCGTCGATACCCCCCCACAGTGTCGCTTTTCCCTTAATGGGAAATCTCGCAAAGATTATATGTTCTGCAGAAAGGAAAAGAGCAAAGGGCTAGCTCGTGGGGACCAAATCTACTCGCTTAAAAGAGAAATTGAATGCTCAATGTGGTGTTCTCAAAGCCAAAGTTCAACGTTCAGCTAGAACGGACAAGAGGATATGTCTTGAGAGTCTTGCAAGAGAGATAGAGACTGCTATATCCAGCACCAGAAACAAGGACTAGTCTACAGGATTAGACTGCAAAAGCACCAATCTCAGGTGTATTACGTTCAAATGAGAGGGACCAGGAAGAGCGTTGGGCAGAACACTTCAGGAAATACCTGAAAAAGAGGTTTCAGAGGACCAACTATGACCTTGATGTTAGCATCACAGGGGCAGATATAGGGGGAGGGTGCAGGGGTTGCGCCCCCCCCCCCACCCCCTGAGATGACCTGCGGTTTTCTAATACAATTGGTATTGTGCAAAAAAAAAAACTATGTGGTTTATTGTTGTTGAAGTAGAGCAAAAGACAATTGGAACCCCTCCTAAAAAAAATCCTGGATCCACCCTGCATCAAACCACCTACTTAGGAGGAGTTTGTAGCAGCCATTGGAGATCTCTGGGATGGCAAAGCACTATGGGATACCAAGTGACTGAAGCAATTCACACCAGTTCTTAAAAAGACAAACAGACACTGTCTAACAGTAACAGCTGGCGAGGTATATCACATTTCTATTTCGCCAAGTAAAATCTTTCCTAAAGTCACAGTGAATTATCTCTCTTTGAAGGGAATGGCGTACTGCGAAGAACATGCTCATTTCAGAAAGGTCGGGGCTGCAAAGAGCGTATCTATACCTTGAGGAAGTACATCGAGCAATGTCATTTGAATAGCAGAATGGATTGTACTTGAATTTTATCGATTTCCAGAAAGCGTTCGATAGCGTACACACAGAAAGCTTATGGAGTATTCTCCGGACATATGGGCATACCTAAGCACATTGTCCGAGTAATTAAGCTATTTTTCTTTACTGACTTGCTCGGTTAGATGCTCTGATCCGAGTTGCCCTAATTCCGATGTCCAATATCCAGCATCCTACTTCAATCCTGTGACGTTATTTTCCCTCCAAAATCCGTTCAAGTCGAAAACATTGGTCTAAGAAAACTATGTTGAGTGCTGTTCTATGTTCCCTGTGTGCTGAGTGGGCGAAAATGAATTTTAATAATTTATAGGGCTTTAGACGACAACTGATCCATGAGAGGTTAGACTGTTTTGTCTAGCACATGCCTAACATAATTATACCAATTTGAATAAACACTGAACATTGCTTATAACTAAAAGCTAGATTAAATAACGCTGCTTGCTTGGAAGTGGGTGATTTACAGAATAAGATGAAAACAAAGGTAGTAACGAGAGACAGAGTCCAGGAAAATTAGGCGAACAGATAAATACTTAACAATTATTCTTTGAAATCGAGGTGAATAGTGGCAAAATATTTACCGAGCCGCGAAAGCGGCGAGGTAAATATTCCCAAAGCCACTATTCACCGAGATTGAGAAGAATAATTGTTTTAGTATATACACACGAAGTGATCTCAACAAAATCAGAAAGGAAACCATTCAAAAGTAGGATTTGATTGACAGATCAAATCACGCGTAAGTTTAAAAATAGATCTTTGCAGAATTTTCAAACATGGCAATTGACAAGTTTACTCATTTCGCAAACAACAGCGTAATGGCTTCAATGGAATCGCTAAAAGTTTGAACTGTTTCCTTACCTGAGAAAAAAAGTAGAGCTGTGTTGTTTTCTGTTGACTCGCCAAGTTTATAGCCAAAAGGGCATGTTGTGTCGTTCTTCGCATGAAGTGCTGACAAAAATGGCGGCTCGGTTGCTCGAGGTAAGAGGTCGTCTTCCTATATCATTCTTTTTCCTGTTTACTTGAAATGTAGAATTTCTGCAAACATTTCCTTTTAAATTTGTTTGTCATAAATAAACTTCGATTTTTGAGCCAAAATTTTCTTCTTAGAAAACGCTGAGTTCACGAAACGGCTTCTTCTACGCGAATACACGGGAGTTGTAAACAATCCATCGAGCGCAAAACTCCTGCTACAGTAAATTGAAAAACGCCGTATTGAATCCTTCCAAGTCTTTTCTTGCCTTAAAAAAAGTCAGCCCTAGGATTTTGTCGACTTTTAAAAGATCGTTCTCTAAAAAAAACGGGAAAAACACCGAGCTCACACATTATCCACTCGCTAGGAGGTGAATATTGTTGAATAGTCCGAGATAGCGAACCAATCAGATTGCTTAAATCACCAAGATCACTGAGTGTGTATATACTAAGTACAAATATATTTCAGCACTAATTCAAAATGATCTAAGCATAACATATTATCAGTAAAGTTGCTGTTAGTTTAGCACCACCCGCAGCGTCCTAAGATTGTATAAAAGAATTCATGCATTCATCATGTTAAAAGTTATTGCTCCGAACAATTCAGCTGAGTCCAAAAACCAAAATAAAAGCTAATTGAAATGAAGCAATTTAGTGCAATAACCAGCTAATGACACCCACGAGCGGATAACGCTCTTATGATAAAGCATTACTTACTTTTTTTAATAAGTGCTGGAAGCTTTAGATTTAGTTTTCGCTCTAGTTAAATTACAGTTTTCTTTACTTGCCTTGGTTAACACTGAGTTCCGTATTGTTTCTTGAGCGGCCTTATAAGAGGTACCTTCCTTTGATTTCCGCACACTTTAAAAAAGGCTTCGTATGAATGAGCAAATTAACAAACTTGTTCTCACAATTACTCATTGGTGAGGCGCTATTTGCTATTCTAACGGCGTGTCTTTCCAGTGGGGCTTCAGTTCATCCGCGGGGTAATTTGAAAAAGCTAGGACAACACACTTTATCCCCCGTCTGAGATCGAAGTCTACATACCGCAAGAGTGCAGATGAGCTCTGATTCAGTTGTAATCTCTTTGTAAACGATTACGCAAAATTATCAACTATAACATTTAGTTACAATTATTGAAAGTGGCTTATAACTCGCCCAGGCTGACGGTCGGCGAGTAGATGATCGAATAGTTTAATTGAAAAAAAAAAAAAAAGGAAATGCATTCAGGACCCTGGTTAATTGTAGTTAGTTTTCTCCTTACCTACTTGAGCAGTTGTGATATGGTTCAGCCAAGCTCCCCAAACAACACAAACCAGGAAAAGCGATAACCCAGGGAAACAACGACCTGCCATACTGAAGACCGAATTTTGTTTAAGTTTCTTTTCTTTAGTGAGTTTCGTTAACTAGTTAATGCCAGCTGCAATGGTTGTCATAATAAATAAACATTAGACTTAACCAGTAGTCATATAGATTGGCATACAGTTACATCAAACAGAAACGAATTTACATGGAAAAAGATGGTGCCTTAAAATAAGAGCTACAAAAAAGCCTCTCATTTCACGTTGGGGCCAAACCACACCTCAAAGGTATCATTTAGCCTACATTCACGTATCTTTAAGTTATACATTTCCTTTCATTTCTTGACAAAACTTGCAGGATGGAATAATTAAGAGTGAATGTCAGTAAAAATCAAAGAAATATCACAATTTTGCGGCCACTGTCAAAAAATCGATTTCGCTATTTTTTTGTCTAGGATAAGGCTAAGGTACTAACTCTAGCGGGATGAGACTAATTTTTGCTTTCCAACTGTAATAAACGGTCAAAAATGATTTGACCGTGCACCGCTATGCGTGGGCTTGAAATTTCGCCATCTTGGAGACAATCCAGTTCGAGATAAAACATAAGAACTGGTCTTCTCTTACTATGAGTGTTCAAAAGGGGTCTTGTTCTTCTAGAAAATACCCATATGAATCGTCTTAGGTTATTCCTAATCGATTTTTGACTGTGGCTCCGATTTTTCCGATTTTCTTTGATTTTTACCTGACTTTTTAAGCAGCTGTTCGTTTTTCCCTCGCACACATTTTAAGACAAGTTTAGTGATGGTCAGTTGCTATGGTTACAAGATATGACATCATAAGTGGCAGGTGGTCAAGCTATTTTTGGATGAAAACACTTGTTTTTTTTAACTTCTTTTGACAATAAAAGCAAATCTTGTGGCTAAAATCATGCAAAGTGCTTATTTATGTGTTATTTATCATGTAAAGCACAAAGAAAATAACCATTTTCTCGGGTCTAAACCTGATTTCCAGTTCTTCTCCACCCAACGTCAATATTCAGAAAATATCTATTCGGAATGCGATTTGAGATCTATAATTTTCGGAACATTTGCTGTAAAATTTCTTGCTTGCCTGCCTCTACTAGGATTTTCGAACATCTAAAAAATCGTATAATTTTTCGTTATTCTAGCTGAAATTTTCCAAAAAGGTGAGTTTTGATCCCTATAATTTTCGGATCACTAGACTTTCAGCTAGGGAATCCCAACAGACAAATTTTTAGGGGATAAAAATATGCCTATATCTACCGTTTATATACTAAAATACGTTCAACAATGCTATGTTTAAGTGGTTTTGAGCTACCGTAAAATTCCGGAAATAAGCCCCTCCATGTATACGCCCCTCTAACTATAAGCTCCTCATCGCGGTCACCCCAAAAAACCTCCGTTAAATCGCCCCTCCAAATATAAGCCTCCCAGGGGCTTGTAATTGGAAAATTGCCATCAAATACAAAGTAAAACAAAGCCAAGCAGTAAATTTACTTCCAACTATAAGGCTAGCCCAATAGATTTTGAAACGCAAATTTCCCCCCGTAGATAAGCCCCTCCAAAAATAAGCCCCTCAAAAAGGGCTTTTGAAAAATATAAGCCCCGGGGCTTATTTTGGGAATTTTACGGTATATTCTTGTTTGGTGCCCGTGTTACTTTTCAACAGTTAATCTCTTTCAAACTTGGCACTTCGCAAATTTTGGAAGGCTGTTTTTATCAGTTTCAATCTCAGCCATCGTTTGATATTTAGCGAAGTTTTTTTTTTTAAGAATCGTTCTGTGGTGATTACAGAAGAATTTTATTGCGTTAGTTTTGAAACCCTTTGCTGTTGAATTTTTTTTTTTACGTGGATTTACAGTGTCCTCTTATCAGCGGCCGTTCTACTGGCAGAGAGTTTAACGACGGCTACTCCACAATGAGCGATTGAATCTTAGATGGAATCTTTCTTATAGTTCACACAACCTTTTTGTTGAGTAATTAAGAGGCTGCTGGTTCTTGGATTTTTTTTTTCGTGCTCAAAGTATATGGACATGAAGCGGCTATCTCTAACTATTGTAAAAGCTAACCGGGAAGCGGAATTCGTTTGTGGCTTCTACTCTGCTGCTGAGAGGGTAAAATCAATAACGCTTAGTTTCAATGATTTAGGACTTCACAATAATAAAATGTTTATATAAACAAAGGTGTTCACAATGTAAAAATTTCCTAACCAGCAGTGTCACTCATTGTGCGGACTGGCATGAAACGTAACGCTGATTATCGATTTCATAATAATAAATTGTTTCAGTTGTAAACCAAGGTGTCGGCAAAATTGTTAAACTACATACTAAAGCAACAGTGTCACTCATTGGAGGGATTGAATTGTCCCTTTGAAATTTAAACTCTAAAATAACCTTTCGAAGGAGGAAATATTGCCTAGAAATTTCTGAAGCTCTGTGAAAAGCTATAACTTCCTGGATAACCGTTCCATTCGTCTAAAATATTCGGAGGTTTTCTAAAAACCTACCTACGATTATCGGAGGTTGTGTTGGCCACATTTCAACACCAAGATATTGCGATTATTATTTAAAAAGGGGTCTCCTAAAAATTTCGTTGTGAAGACAAAACATCCCCTGAAATTTTCTGATGAAAGCAAGGCTACTTCATGTCCTTGTACTTTCGACCGGACCCATAAGGGTAGCTAACACTTGAGACGAAAACCACCTAAAACTTCGTGACGACCAAAGTTCGCCTAAGACATCCGAACAGATAAACAATTTTAAGGGCAACCCAAATTAAGCAAACAGGCTTCTAAAGTACGGAGAATACCATTTGAGATACTTCTGGCGTATTTGGAAAAATTCGGTCGTTGGGTGCCCCTGGTGACTGCCCGCGTCATCACCGCCAAGGTCGTAGCGGCTTTTCACGAACAGTTTGGATCTTTTGTTATTGTATATATGGGTGAATTATTGCCCTGAGCGTGCCAATGCCAGGATCTTCCATTTTCTGCAATATCTGTAGTGCGGATTGAACGGGATATTTTCCGTTCACTGGAAAACACCCACTCTTTCATGAAACAATTAAGGGAAGGTGTTAAAGAGGACTCAGTATATGTAATTTTTTTTTTTATTTTTTTTTGTGCTCGACATTTCGTTCATTTTTCACGAGGTTTTCATCTGCATTTCGAGTTGGCGATGATGGTGAGGCTACCAGAGGGCATATAATGTACTTTACATTGATGAGGTGGTTCATAACGACACAGACCCGGATCATGCTTTCCTCGCCAACTTGCAGTAGTAGACTATTGGTTGGATCGAGTGGGAATGTTGCTGTCTTGATCCAATATTCAGCTACATGAAGAATCATGGCTAGACGAGCGGTTTGTCCTTTGGCCTTTGAAAGGACACCAAGCGTGTCATTGTCGATGTTAAACTTTTCCTTTCGTTGAGCGCATCGTGATCGTCAATGAAGAGTTCATCGCTGTTTTATCAAATTTGTAGGTCTTGGGCGACTGGTGAAGATCAATAATACGCAAAAGGACGTCTTTGAATGAGAGTACTTCACTCGCAGAAGCTGGGTCTGCAGGTCTGCATATATCCAGTACTGCGAAAACGCTGAGCGACGTTCAAAATTATGCAGATTTTGACTGGAGATCCCGTCTGCTCAAAAGAAATGTTCACATTTCTGAATAATCACGCCAACTCCATGGGAGTTCCAAAAGAGTTATTATTCTTCCCCCTTTTATCGACTGTGGCATCCGGCTCATGGGAACCTCAACTTGCATAGAGATCAACCAAAAATGGAAGGAGCCTGGACTGCTATGGTTTGTTATTGTTTCCAAGAAAGGAGCAAATAAATCAGGCGCCGTCAACTTGTTGATTCAGCCACTGAAAGAGATTGAGGAAATGCAGGATAAAGAGGAAGAAGAAGAGGACGAAGTCCAAACGAAACTGCAGCTCCTCATCGATCACTTCTCATTTGAGAAACTATTCAATGTCATGTCCAGAAACGGCTGTAAGATACTCGCATCAGTATATGATAAGATGACAAAGCTTTATGGACTATTGGACTTGTTCAAGCCAAATGGAAGTTCTCATGACAGAAAGAATTTGTTAAACTCATACAATGGTGGAAATTGGGCGCGTCATTTCAGGAGCCTTCGAGGAAAAATGTCAAATTTATCCAGCCCTATTACGTCATACAGCTCGTTCACCAAGACGAACACGACGGCTTTAACGACTGACAACTTTTTGACATGCCGCCAGAAATTGACGTGAACTATTTAAAGGAGTCGCTGCTGCTAGCGCAGTACCATAAGACCTTACAACGTTCTGATTTAATTTAGAGGGCAAGTTCAACGCAAAAAAAAAAATACAACTCCTGCATTGTGATGTTGCTCCCCATGAGAAATGGAAGCATCAAATAACCGACCTTGTTAGTTAAATCATTACTTTGACTAACACTTTTTTTAAACCGACACAATTAATCTATAAAACGGAATAAGATTGTTTTCTTACCTTCAAGTGCAGTTGTAATAATGTTATAGTTCAGTCAAGCTCCCCAAACAACACAAACGAGCAAGAGCATTAACACGGAAGAACAAAGACCAGCCGTATTGGGGACCACATTGCTTCTGACTTGGTTACAGTGATATTTTAGGGGAAATATATCCCGTGCAGTCAACAGAAAATAAAATTAACATAATTAAGGGTGGGTCCATTTCCAGATATGAATGTTACTAAAAATTGGGGAACGGGAATTGGGTTACGAGCACGGGGAACAGGAAAAATGAAACTGGGAGCAAAACTTGGAACCCTAGCCCTACGCAAGTTCAGTAACTTCATTTCCAACATTCTCAGTTTTGTTTCCATTTTTCATTTTCCTGTTCTCGGTGCATGTTAACCGTTCCCCGCTCCCCGTTATAGTGTCATCCTTTCAAGTATACGCGTATATAGCCGTCGCATTTATCCACAGGGATTTTTATTGTTTTTGAGCCGTAAAGACAGTAATATAAATCCCCAACGGGTAAATGCGACCGCCATACAGGAAGTACGTTACTATGTTACCAAGAAATGAAAACATAAGAGCAAAGAAGAGAAAGGTAATGAAGATACTGGATAGGGCTAGAGTTCACTTAGTTAGGGTTCGTTCCCATTTTTCATTTTTCTCTTATTTTCCCGTGATTTTTCTCGGTTCCCCGAAGTACTTTTAAACGATCGTTAAAAAAACCTGTGAAACAGCATCTGAAATTTACCTATTTTAGCCGCTAACGGTCGTTCAGCAACGAAATGCTGGGAATGGAAGTAAAATAAACAATTTCCTCATCCTAACTGCAATTCTGTTATTAGGATGGATAGTAGCACTGATAATGATAAAAAATATAAGGCAAAAGTTTTGTCGAGTCCGAAATCGAGTGGAACGCTTTAAGGGAGACTGCCTCTTTAGTCTTGTCTATATTACTTCCTGTGACGGTAGATAAAAGCTATAACCGCCGTTAACGTAGTTAAGACATTATTTTGAAGGTAAGGTAGGATAAACCAAATTTAGTGAAGACGGCATTCAAGAGGCGATTAGTCATTATTTATAAATTAGGGATGAAGAAATAATTTTCTTCGAGGTTTGGTTTTTAGAAACCAGTACCTAATAGACAATATCAGAAATTGAGATTTTAACAAAGAGATACAGTTTCTAATGGGCTGGCTACTGAGGACGCGCATAACGATTATTATTTAGTTACACTCCCATTTCTTTAAATGTATTAAAGTTACAAGTCAAGTTACATCCCTAAGATTAGTAGATAGCGTATTAAAACATTACGTAATGCGTGACGCTCTGAAGAACTGGCCCGAATGCACAGGGAAATTAGTTCGTAAAACCAGTCAATAAGACCCCGGAACAATGACTGGTAAGAGACGAGACAGAAGTGTTTCTTGAAGAGAAACGGAAAAAAAAAACAAAAAAGAAAACAAACAGACAGAAAAAGAACGTCTAAGCTGACTCGTGATCAAGTCATAATGTAGTAAATCACTGCAGCTGAACGCTTGGTGCTTAAAATGAAGTTTATTTTAACAACTCGAGGTGACTGATGTTTATTTAAATAACAAATAACCAGTTACGTGACTCATATCTCTACTCAAAACAATATAGCGTACTAAACACGTTTGCAAAGTCTGAAAATAGAATTGTACCTTTAGGCTAAGAGGTACCGCTTAGTATTACAAACACTTTACCTGTTTAAGGTAATTCCCATGTTTTGTACTGCGCATCACCTAGTGCGCATGGCATTGCGACTTCAAAGATGGCGCTGATTTTCATCGGTCGGGTCACCTAAAAAGAGGTAATTTTGACTCCTTTTGTAGTCCAAATGCTTTTAATAGCGATTTTGATAGATCTACCTTGCTAAAAAGGTGATTGTCTTGAAAATCTCCCCAGTCCTATCTCGCAAAATGATCATTTAAAGTCGAAATTATCCCTTTTTTGTCGATTTGCTTTGAAACGAGAATGGTAACCCCCTTTTTTATTTGTGTTTTTTACCCGTTATGTCCACACAAGAAATATGTATTAGGGCGAAAAAAATCTGGATCGTACGTCATTTTCAAGGGAATTACCTTAAGAAAATAAAATTGTTATAAACACCTTCCTATAATTTCCTATATAAGACAACAATAAACAACCTTTTCTCAAGACAAAGGACAAAAGTCAAGGTATCTGTAGCCTGTGCCAGGTTCTCGGTCAGCCCCGTAGAGGCCTGGAACAGGTTAAGCCATCTGATGCCCTCAAACCTTCGCTAATCGACACTTCGCTAATCGGCTGTAAGAATACATGGCTTAAGTGGACAGACTTAACCATGGCCCCGGCCAAATACAGCTTATCCCAACTGTCTCCGCTTAGTGGAGTTTCTCTGCATTACACATCTTAAACGACGTTGAAGGATTTAGAAGTAGTTATTTAGTGACGAAATTTGGCAATATCGCTTAAGACATCATGTTCGATGAGGCCAACCCAGTGTCCCAAGACCATAATATATATTTCCCACCACACCAATTAAGTGCAAAAGTTGTATTTGCCTTAAATTACTGCAGTTGTGCATGCTTTTGTTTTAGAGGCTTTTTTTAACATTCTACCAAACAACAATATATTATGATAACAACGACAGTTTGTCGGTGCTATAACTAGGTGATACGAGGATTGTCTGTGTGACCCATGTGATTATGCTCTACCGTAACACTTAAACTTCCCTAAAGTGTGAAAGCCTATCTCCCAACTTTCACCAGTATCGCCAAACTTGAGCTGTTTGACAGGAAGCTTGGTCCTGTCAGTCAGGAGACCACTGTCTTCGCGCCACACTTCGTCATTCTTATCACAGTTACAACCATAGCTGGGGTCTGCACATGAGTTATTCATCCCGCATCCGCACTTATCATTGACAGATGCTCCGCCCCAGTACGTCATCTTAGTAGAATTACGTGACACCCACCAGCCGTTTGGATAGTTATTACTAAGCAAAACCGAGCTGTGACACTCGTACTTGATAAACTGCTCACAGTGTGAGGAGACTTCGGTGAGACTGGCCAACTGAGATAGACGTGCTCCAGTGTAGTTAACATCTCGGGTGTATGTACCTGGGTTTTCATATCCTTTCACTTTTGTTCTGTTCTCGCTATCGTGACTGATGACTGTCACGCCAACACCATTTTTCTCTGTCATGTTACAGTACACTGAGAATGGCTCCAGATCTTCCTCGCCATCTGAATCAATGATGTAATTTCCGCTTTCTGCTTCCGGGTTGTTCTCCTTTAAATAGCTGCATGAAGCAACTACCGAGAGAATTAAAGATCCTTATCAATCCGTTATTCCTCTATTCCGATTGTTAAAGGCGTGCTACTCCTACAAGTAGTGTGACTGCGTTAAAGTGATAAATAATAAAAAAAAAAGAAAACTTACAAATGATTTTAGCAAGGCACATAAGCCATTAACAACCGTTGCACAAACTTAGCAAGGGCGGATCCAGGACTTTTTGATTGTTTGGGGTCCAAACTTTGGTTCAGAAAGAACTGTTGAACTTTTTTTGTGGCAAATTACTTGTCATAGAGACGACCACGCGTTTCTCAATCTTTGAATTTGTTTTGTGTTGAGAGGCGAACAGATCATGGGAAGGTACCCAAAAGCAATTACATTTTCTCTGAAATTTAGTTTAGTGGCAAAATGCAACGCGCATTTTATCTTTAAAAAAATCAGTCAATTAAAAACTTATATACGATCCTGTCGATTTAACAAAGAATTGCAGTCCGGCAAACAACCGTCTGGTTTGATTGGGGGTGGGACACCACTGCAGTTAACACTGAAATGTGGGCATAAAATTCTTGAGTGATAGGAAACGGTAAGTTATATATTATCACATATCAGCGGGAAAGATATTTGGAGGTATGTACTAATCATCAAAATTCTCTTTACCTTTCTCGCATTTTTCTGCGCTGTAGCCATCTGGGCAAAAACAAACGAATTTTTTTCTCCGTGTATCTCATGTAGCAGGTGCCATGATTTAGGCAGGGCCTTGCGGCGCAAAGATTCTGAAAGGAAGAAACATATTTTGTGTCAAATGTGAATTTTGTGATATCACTGGAATATTTTTCTCGGATATAATGATTTCAAGTGACACGAAGATTGTTAAGAATCCGCAATAGCTACTGGTACACACTGGTATTATCTTTACTAAGCCGTACATTGTTAATATGTGTTAAGTCATCATCATCTTCAATTTGTAGTAATTATTTTTTTTATTTTCTTTACCCTCGCATCATTCTGCGACACGTTCGTTCGCAAATGTAATAAACATGGATAATTATAAGTATTGGCACCTCTACGATTAGAAATCATGCGATCATCGATGTTGATCAATACCTCCCTTATCTTTTAGTTACCACCTCCTACAGTTGTATGTAAGCATTTGATCAACCCCATCATTGTAGACGTTATCCTCCACGCACTCCATCATTATCATCATCATCATCATCATCATCATCATCAGTATGATTGTCATCATCATACGTAACCATAATCTCTAGCAGCACCATCATTATCATTAGTATCTTCGTTTGTTAAATATTGACAAATTATAATGATATATGTATTCATTATATATATTACACCACCATCAATGGCGTCCTCTTTCTGCTTATCGATCATCTTCATTTCATTTATTTCGTTTCAAAAATTTTTAATCACAGATGTTGCCTGGCAGTGATACCTTTGTTCCCCTATAGAACCAGTCTTTTATTGCTTTGAGATCTTGTGCATGTTGCAAGTGATCGGAATTACTGAGTTACAGGCCATCTTGATGTTTATCATTGGACCAATATTATATGAAACTTATTCCCTCGCAAGGACGCATTGGTCTTGGCAGTCTAAGTTTAGTCCCACAGAATGATTGGAGAACACGTGCCCTTCAAGGTAAAAACCTCTTGCTGGTGTCAGAAATGTAATGTATCGGTTGCTTTGACCGCAATCACCTGTAAAAGAGATTTGTAACATAAAAACTCGCTAATATTCTCAAGACAGTTTGGCCGACTACTTTTGCACTTAAACAAAGGACCTTCAGCAGAACAGGGCTGTCTTCAGAGAAGCCATTTTACTTTATGGCTCAGTCTGTTCTAAGCGTGCAGGCGTGCGTGTAGCAGTACCATTTTCCAAACAGTTCAGCTTAAAAACGGTAGTGCAGCAGGTGGACCGCGTTTTTTTCGTCTTCAGCCAAGGTGTACAATTACACTTCGCTTAGCATGCGTTCAGTTGCAAGTACTTTCTGTTGATGTAGGGTTTTGAAGACTGCATACTAGAAAGAGTATTATATTTTAGCAAACAAGTGCGCAATTTGCTCGCGCGCGTTCACAGTTTAGACACAGTTAGATTACGTATCGTGTTTACAGCAAACGGCAAGCGTGGGATTCAAATTGAATATTTTTTAGGGTAAGAAATATTGATCATGAATAGATAAAAACAGCTTAAAACAATTTTTGGATAGAACTGGCGTGAATCTACCGATTTTCGTGTGAACAGTAAGCGACAAACTTGGTCAAGTGTTACAAAGGCAAGTTTGCTGTTTGCCGTAAACGCGATGCTTGATCTCTCTATTGTCGCCTTTGCGTTGAGAACTCCAGCGATGAGTGACCGAGGAACAGCTAAATGCATGTTGCAGACTTGCACTCAGCATCCAACGAGACATCTGCGTTCATTTTTTTACTGGGTATTACACACTTTGTTCTTACCTTCAAGTGCGCTTACAATGTAGCTCAGCCAAGCCCCCAATAAAACACAACCAGCGATTGCTAACCTGACGCAAAAAGAACGAGGTGTCATGCTGGGGACCTTATTGAAAGAACTGCTCCCCGAACAGCTTGGTTTATCGCTGCGCCCAGTGGATAGCCTGACCAGATTAATATGTTGAATGTTAAACACTTTTGACACAAATAAAAGTGATCAATTTGCAAATGAATGGAATTCTTAGAACTCAAGGTAACATCGTCTCAATCTGCAACTGAATGGAATCCTAATAACTCATGAAAAATTTCAAGTTTCGACTGAGGAGGTAGCATGGACCAGAAGTTAGAGCTCTGAAACTGTAATCAGTGGCCCAGGGTTTAATCCCTGCTCTGACCGCTGGCTGAATTTGTTATCGGTAGCCCCGAGTCCACCTGCTTGGGTTGTAAATGGCCAACTGGTTTGCCTGGGGCTAGTTGGGATTCCTGACCTTGTGGGCCACGACGAAAACTACTGGTTTACCAGTTATTTCGTTACCCCTATAAAGTCATTTTTTTCCCGTCAACTTTAATTTAATTTTGGACGCAGTTTGCGAGCTAGTAGTCCTGTTTAGGAGCGGAGGGGTAGATAGCCCTAACCGTCTTGGGTGACTGTGGTGAAGGCAAGACCACGGTACAAAGGAAGGTCTCAAAATATCTAGACACTCTCTAAAGGTCACTGCTGACAAACAATCTTCGCTTCAAGAAAGAGGAAAGGGCCTTTTTCTTTTTCCTGTTTTTTCTTAAAATCTGCAGTCTAAGTCGCTATTAATTTTTGTTGGTTTGCTTGAAAAAGATAAGTATTGTTTGATAAGGAAATTTAAATTTACTTTTCGGAGTCAGACAGTTTCGGTTTTTACTTTGCTACAATTTCTAGAAATTTTAAAATAAGTTACAAAGGTTGCCATTACCATAAATTGTTTTTCAAACGAAAATCGAATATAATTGATGAATTACTCAAGTGCTCAGTCATTATAGTTTGACCACAGGTAGCCCAAGCTCACTATGAGAGCCGTTAACAACATTATCCTACTTAGCTAATTAATTATTCATACAGCAAGAAAATTATAAGACGTTGTATGGAGAAATATTCTTTGCTCACTAAATTAGCAAAATGTACATTGAATATCGCTTTGAAGCTTACCTTTAGCGTCTTTGTACTGTCGCAATTTGCAATAATCATCGCACTTTGTAATACCTGTCGCAATTTGTAATAAATCCATCGCACTTTGTAATACCTGTCGCAATTTGAAATAAACCGTGTCGCACATTGTAATAAAAAAAGGTGTCGCAATTTGTAATAACAGTCCATTGCACTTTGTAATAAACTAAGCTGTCGCAATTTGTAATAATTCCATCGCGCTTTGTAATAATTTTTTGAGAGTGATTCAACTTACTTCGTCAACATTAATATAATGCCAAAATATGCATGGTACTTCATAAACAAAGATGATGACGTCTGCTAGCATGTAACATTTCCTTTGGTCAAACATGCATGTCTTCCGCTACAAATTTTTGTGCCTTGATTAATCACGTTACTAACTAGAAACGCTTTTATGAAAGACATGAAACTGCCTGTGACATATCACCAAAAAGATATGAATCACGTTTAAATTCAAAAATATTTAAATAAGAAAGGCAACATTTAACAACAGAAAATTCATGAATAACCTGGCATTCGTCGTCCAAATCCATGTCTGCTTGCCACGTGACACGTGAAGCCTTCGGCGGGCGGGGGGGGGATAATCCCATATATGGATGGGCTAGATAGGTAAGTACCGCCTGATAGGGTATGGTTTTTGAGGATCTCGAGCCTCTAATAGGGTATCATTTTTTACGTTGCTGGCCTTGTGTCTTTGGTTTGATCCTTAGATAAGGGAACTCAAGTAGTAATGGATGGTTTATTCCATCCTTTCCATTTTGTAGAAAAACACTAATCCAGAACACGCTCGGAAGAATTGCAAGATCTTACGAGTTGTATATACGTATATAATTTTTTACCATCCCCATGGTATTTGCTTTAGAGGACTCCTTACAGAAAACAATTGTTTTAAGATGGAATGAGTACTCCTTTTGTTCTTATATGAGACCAAATCAAGTGAGAATAAATATGGACCAAATGCCCAGCCGGCTCAGTGTAAGACCCCAATTGAGTGTTATAAAAACAGGTACATACGAAGGTATTGGCCAGCAACTAATTGGATTTTGTGGTTAGGTTTCTGTTGTGGTTCGAAGGTTTGCCACTGGTGACGTTTTTTTTTTTATTTGCAGTAAACAATTTGAATCTTTCCAGGCCTCGTTTGATTTTAAAAGTTGGAAGCTACTCTTACTTCTTTAAGATTGCTCGTTAGACAAGAACGGTGTACCACGTGTTGTGTCAACCTGTTATAACATCTAACAAGGAAAGCTTGAACT